TCGCTCGGCATCACTTTTCTCCCTGGAGGGCATATACTTCGGCTACCCGAACCCTCGGAACCTCCCCTCCCGCTCCCGGGCCACGTTAGGGTCCCTCCCTGGAACTTTCTAGCGGGGTCTTCCCGCCTGTAACCAGACCCGCTCCTCCCGCCGCCGAGCCCGAGCCCGAGCCCCAGACCCACCGGGCACCCCGCCACCCCTCCCGGCCCGGGCGGCCCTGCTGCCCGCAGGCAGAGTCCGCCGCATTACCTAGAAGCAGCAGACGATGCGTGCAAACGTAGTCCATCTTCTCCCGCTTGAGCTGCTTGTCGATGAGCTTGCTGCGCTGCTTCTGTGCGCGCTGCTGGGCGCGCATCTCCTGGGCTTCCTTGCGCGTCGGTTTGCGCTTCTCCGCCGCCGCGGAAGGCTTCTTGGCCTGCGCAGCGCGCGAGCCCTGGGGCTCGGGGCTCTCGGAGCGGCCGAGGCATCCCCCGAAGACTTCGGAGAGGAAGTTGCAGAAGAAGTTGCGTCGGGTCTTGCCGCGGCGGCGGTCTCTCCGGCGGCGGCGGACCCAGCGCAGGCACACGAAGGGCCCCGCGTCGGACTCGTCTGCGCTGGAGTCCTCGTCGCTGCTGACCAAGCCCTCCTCGAAGTACTGGACGCAGCCGCTCTCGGGCTTGCCCCGCCAGGCAGCCGCGCGAGCAGGCCGCGGAGTAGGCGGGTCGGCAGCCTGGATCTCGGGGCTGGGGGGCCGGAGGCGCTGCAGCTTGGGCCGGGCCCCGGAGGCAGGGGCCGCGGAGGCTGCTCGGGCCGCGGAGGCTGCTCGGGCCGCGGAGGCTGCTCGGGCCGCGGAGGCTGCTCGGGCCGCGGAGGCTGCTCGGACCGCGGAGGCTGCTCGGGCTGCGGAGGCCGCTCGCGCTGCAGAGGCTGCTCGGGCTGCGGAGGCTGCTCGGGCTGCGGAGGCGGCCGGACGGCTGGGCGGCCCGCTGCCGCGCGCGGACAGCTCGGCGGCCCCGCGGCGCGCTCGGCCGGGGCTCGGGCTGCCCCGGTGTCGGGATGCGCCGGGGCTCGGGCGGCGGCGTCGGCGTCAGAAGTGGCCCGGGCGGCAGCGGCTTCCCGGGCGTCAGGATCTGCCGGGGCTCCGGCGGCTTCCCGGGCGTCAGGATCTGCCGGGGCGCCAGCGGCTGCCCCGCCGTCAGGATCTGCCCGGGCTCCAGGGGCTGCCCCGCCGTCAGGATCTGCCGGGGCGCCAGCGGCTGCCCCGCCGTCAGGATCTGCTGGGGCTCCAGCGGCTGCCCCCGCGTCAGGATCTGCTGGGCTCCAGCGGCTGCCCGCCGTCAGATCTGCCGGGGCTCCAGCGGCTGCCCCGCCGTCAGGATCTGCCGGGGCTCCAGCGGCTGCCTCACCGTCAGGATCTGCCGCGGCTCCAGTGGCTGCCCCGCCGTCAGGATCTGCTCGGGCTCCAGGGGCTGCCCCGCCGTCAGGATCTGCCGGGGCTCCAGCGGCTGTCCCGCCGTCAGGATCTTGCGGACTCAGCGGCTGCCCCGCCGTCAGGATCTGCCGGGGCGCCAGCGGCTGCCCCGCCGTCAGGATCTGCCGGGGCTCCAGCGGCTGCCCCGCCGTCAGGATCTGCTGGGGCTCCAGCGGCTGCCAGGGTGTCAGGATCTGCTGGGGCTCCAGTGGCTGCCCCACCGTCAGGATCTGCCGGGGCTCCAGCGGCTGCCCCGCCGTCAGGATCTGCCGGGGCGCCAGCGGCTGCCCCGGCGTCAGAAGCGGCTTGGGCGTCAGAATCTGCTGGAGCTCCAGGGGCTGCCCCGGAGTCGGGATGCGCTGGGGCGTCAGGATCTGCCGGAGCTTCCGCGGCCGGCCGGGCGTCGGGATCCGCCGGGGCGGCGAGGGCTGGCCCGGCGGGAGCTCGGCGGTCGGGAGGGCGTCCGTCCCCGGGCGAGGGGCCTCTCCCTCCGTCCTCGGCGGCGGCGCCCGAGCCTCCTTCCATGGCGGCTGCCTCTCCGTCAACTGGGGGTCTCTCGGCTCGCTCCCTCTTATCTGGGGCGCCCGAGACTCCGATGGGCGGGCCATCGGCCGCGATTGGGGGGCTGTCCATGCTGACGGGCGCGTCGTCGACCCCGGCGGGGGCGCTACCAATCTGGAGCGGGGGTCCGGAGAGCTCCCCCGGGGGGCCGCCTCCTGCGCAGGCGGGCGGCGATCTGGCAGCTTCTCGGGATGGGCTGCGGATGGCGCCCGGGATGCGGAGCGGGGGCGCGCTCGCGGCGGGAGGGAGGCAGAGCGGACTCGCACCCGGGACCCCGACCGCCGCCGACTGATTGGCACCGTCGACTTTCCGGATGATGTGGGGGAGTCCTGGGGGTGGGCTGTCGTCTCCAAAGGCTTCTTCGTCGAGCTCGAACGGCATGGCTTCCTCAGGGGGGGGGCTGTAGCCCCCCCTGACGCCTGCGTTTGCAGGTCTGCGCGCTCGGGGCTCCCGGGGAGGACTTCCAGGGACCCCTGCGCCCGGGCCGCCTGGAGCGAGATCTGGGGCCTCCGGGAGAGGCTGGCTGTAGCCTCCTTGGGCAGGCTGGTCAAACTCGAAGGGCATCGCTTCTTCTGGTGGAGGGCTGTAGTCTCCCAAGCGTGGGCTAACACCACCGAAGGCTCTGGGCTCCATGAACGCTGGGCCACAGGCCCCAAGGCCTGCATGGGCCCCCCTGGGGAATCCAGGCTGCTCCTGCGCAGGCCAGAAGCCTTCCAAGCTGGGCTGCTGGACCTCGAAGGGCATGGCTTCCTCAGGAGGTGGGCTGTAGCTTCCCCAGGCTCTTGCTTCCTCGAAGGCCGGGTTGAGGCCCTCCAAGTTGGGCCTGGAGACTTCTGGGGGTCCACCGGCCTCGCCTTCGTTGGGGATGGGCTCGCTGTCAGGCGGTTGGGTCTCCATCTCTTCGGCTGGGCTAGGCCCAGCACCGGGGGCAGCTGGCCCTGGGGCCTCCAAGGGTGGTTGCTCGGGCTGCTCCCCAGTTTCAGGGGGGCTATCGCGTTGTCCTGACATATTATTGCCGTTGAGGCGGTGGCGCATGCCCATAACACGGTGGCGGCTTCTTACAATAAATTTGGGGCTCCGTAAGACGGAGCACCCAACCAAACTAGGGTGAAAAAATTATTCACAAAAAAATCAGAGTTCCAGCTGGAAAATTCTCCAGCCTCAATTTCCAACCCCTGTGAGGTTGGGGTGGGTTCAGGGCCTCGAACCCTAGACCATGGCGGAAGCGACTCAGTCGCTGCTGTGGAGTCCAGGCTCCTTCCCGGCCACTCTTTATCCTCTCAGGCCGCCCCCGGCCCCCACCTTGGTCTGCCCTGGTCCCCTCCTGTCTCACACACTGTCTCTCTTTCTCTCTGCTCCAGGCCAGTCCTGTCTGTTTGGATGCGAGGAGCGTGCCGAATCGGTCCGAAAATCGCTAGTAGCTCTTTCTCTCTGCCACCAGAGGACGCCTGCTTCAGTGCTGAGCCTGCTCTGGCTCCAGGAGCCGCCGGCAGTCCCGGACTTTGGGTAAGGGGGCTGATTGAGCGCCGGCCTCGCAGGGACGTTCTGGCTCCTTCCACTCCTCTCCCTGACTGATTTGGAGTCTTTCTCCCAGCTTCTCCCCTGACCAGAAAGATCTCCTGCGTTGCGGGCCACGTGACGTAAGACGTGGGCCTCAGGACGCTCGAGTTGAAACCCTCCCTCCCCAACCCAACAGGCTCTCCTCGGGGGGAGGAGGGACTGCAGGAGGGTTTCATCACCCCAGGATACCCTGAACCCCAGAGTTGTAGCCCCCAGCCCCTAGCAGCCGCTCGGATCAAGTCCCAAGTCCGGAGCGCAGGGCTTTAGGCGGCTGGGAAGGGGGCGCAGACGTGCGCAGGGAGGCGACAGGTGGTCGCGAGCCCACCGGAGAAGCGGAGAAGAGGCAAGGGTAAGGGGCTGCCGAGTGCCAGCACACAATTTGTTTTTTAAAACGCCTTTAAAACGCCTCGGTACTTTCCCCGAGGCTTCTGCAGCTTTTGCTTGCCGCTTGCTCCGGTTAGCTCCAGTTGGCTCCGGTAACGCACTTCAGTGTCCCCCATCCCCATCACTCTCCAGGGGTCTCCGCAGTGGCTTAGGGTGGCGCAGGCAGGGTTCTCCCCGTTTATATGGATGGTGACGCAGTGGAATGAGAGGGTCTCAGGTGTGTGCCGCGGAGAGGCAGGCAAAGCCCCCCCCAGGCAGTTGCCGCGGCGGCACCGAAGGCGGGTCGCGGGGCGCACGGGGGACCCTCGGAGTGTGAGCCTCAGAGTTCCGTAGGTCCTGCTGTTCTGGGGAAGGGTTAAAGGCGATTTTGGTTTGGGTTTATGGCCGGTACAGGGTGGTCTCAAAGACTGGACAACCCTGTGCGCACTAAACCCGTAGTCAAACGCCGTGCCGCGAACGGCAGCCGCGGTGAGCGGCTCCCGGCTTCCAGCGCTGGCTGCAGGGTTGGTCAGTCGGTTCCTCTAGCCCCTACTGCATGCAGCCCCTCTCCTCTTGCTATGAGTGAATATTCTAGGGCAGCTGCTTTACTTTTCCACTGCTAGAGCCCGCCGAGGCGGCACCAAGCCCGGCCACAAACCTATGTACCCTCGCCCGCCCGGCTGCGCTGCGGTTGCCGCGCCACGATGGGCTCGAAGCTGGCGGCGGGTAAATGCCCGGACTTCCCAGTGAGCTCGGTGCATGCATGCATGCGCCTTGCTCTGGGTCAGGGGTCTGCAGAGGGTCTGCAGAGGGTCTGCAGAGGGATTTCCTCCAGGGGGAAAATTGCCGCACAGGGGTCACATAAAACCCGGTAGGTGCGCATCGGCTTAGTCTCGCCAGCGGGTGACAATGACTGGCGAGCCACATGTAGGTGAAGATCAGCAGGGGAGGGGGCAGCCAGTCGCCTGGCCTGCAGAACCCCGAGGGAGGGAAGGTGGGATGAAGGTTACACAGGGTGGGCTGCGGCAAGTAAGGCGCTCGCGCTCGGCGCGAACCGCCGTATGCGAGCCGCGGGCGGGCGAACCACGGCACGGTCCGATCCCGTCAGGTCTAATATAATGCGTTTCTCTTAGAACCAGGGTACCACAAGGCACGGCGCATCATCGCCCCCTGCATCCACCTCCCAGCTGGCCGCACGCCGCGGAGAAAAGCTAACAAGTCCGAGCCTGGGCAACGTTAGGAGCCCTGCAAAGGCGTGTTGCTTCAGCTCCACGGGTCTACACACTTCCCGGCGCCAACACTGAACTTTGGCTCAAACTTTGGGTAGCTACCCCCACGCGAAAAGGCTCGACCACCTGGGCATCCACAGGGTGGGCTAACTGGGTCCCAACATTCAACTCACTCCCCTCCGACCCCTGTGCTGGGTCAGCCATTGGGCTGGGGTCACGCCAATCAAGGCTGCCTGGCGAATGAGCAGGGGGCGTTGGACCGGAAACCGGATATGGGTGGGAGGTCCAATAGGGGGCGCCGCGTTGGAACGCCCTAAGAGGTTATGCTGCGGGGGTGATTTTAAGGCCTTGGGGGGCGCGTGTATGGCGACTAGGCCACGAGGACCGATGGCGCCCTGAGGTCACTCAGCCTGACGCCATAGGTCGCAAAGGCCGGGTGAAATCGGGGGCTCCCGGGGCCAAACCTCGGCCTCGCTGATGGCGGTGGGCTAACCTACCCAACAGAGGGGGTCGCCACCGCCAGGGCGAGGCGAGGAGAAAGAAGATTTTCAGGGCCTGGAGGTAGAGGGCCGGGGCCCTGAGGAGAGGGCTTACTGCGAGGAGCGCCAAGGATGGATAAGGGGTTGAGGCCCCGGGGATGCTGAGCCCTGCGGAAGTGAAAGGTCAGTGGACGCTGGGGTCGGAGCTCCAGGGAGGCCGCGATCGGTGTCCCTTTGATGGGTGCCCCAAAGGGACGGTGTGCTCTTGCCAGGCCTCGAGCTCACCCTCAAAGCATCATTCATCGAGGAACGGGTACAGGATCTCCGTTCGACCTTCATGGGCCTGTAGGCCTCCTGTGTTCAACGTTCTTTCTGGTATTATGGTTCTTTACCAGGGGAGCACACGCATCGAGGTGATAAAAATTGGACGAATACCAATCCCCTGTCGTAAGGGGATTGGTATTCTAGCAGCATAAAAATGAAAGAAGAAACCTTTAGTTAGGGGAACTCTGAAAGCTTTGACAGACAAAATGGCGTTCCAAATGGGCCTTCAAGAAAGGATAGACGCCTTGGCTATGAATAGAAGGTAGGGGGATGGGAGACAGTTTGCCTACCACGAACAAAGGATCCAATGGTAGGAAACATGGGGCGTGGCTGGGTAAACAGAACAGGCCACCTTGGCAGGCCCTTGAAGGGGGGGGGGCAGTGGAAAAGAAAGCAGGAGAAATTGGATAGAATCTCTCTGAGGATGCCATGGAGTATCAGGACAAGAACTTTTGAGGTTATTTTAATAGGAAACAGAGAGGATGTTGAAAGTTTTTTTTTTTTTTTTTTTTGTCCTGCAATTGAGGATTTGAACCTAGTTTTAGGAAAGGTAGAAGCAGTGTGGAGGATGGTCCTGATGAAGAGAACAAAGGAAAGGGATTAAGCACAAAGAAGACCTTGAAGGGAGAGATCCAGACAAAGGTAAAGGAGGCAGGAAGTCTAAAGGAAGGGACTCAGGAGGAGTCTCACTGGATCCTCCAGCAACTTTAGTGCTAAAAAGACAAAAGGCATTAGAGCCAAAGTGTGGTACATGGATGATGGGACACTGGCCATGAGGCAGAGAAGCCAGGAAGAGGGCTGGCATCCTGGCAGATCTAATTTTGTTTCAGACATGGCAGAATTGAAGGAAGATTGGGTAGTTGGGAAAGAGATTTTTACAGTTCATTATTTGGGAGGAAGGGTCTAGAAGTTTAGAAAAATATAAAGATCATAAATTCAAATTGGTAATCATCCATATTTAGGATATGAGATCACTGGCTTAGATATAACTCTCTAGGGGAGAAATATATTTGGTCATAGAATCTTGAACCGTTGAGCACTGAAGAGAAAAATGTGAGACGATCTAGGAAAGAGCAGGGAGGGCTCGGAAGCACTCCAGAGGAAGGGGTTTCAGAACCACTCAGCATATCTAATCCACATGGTGGTTTCTTATCCTCTGCACTGGTAATATTTAGGGCAGGCTAATTCTTTGTTGTGGTGACTTGTCTTGCACATTATAGGATATTGAGCAGCATCCCTATCCTCTACCCACTAGATGCCAGTAGCATCCCCTTAGTTTTAATAACCAAAAATGTCTCCAGACTTTGCCAAATGTCCTCTGGGGGGCAAAATCAGCCCTGGTTGAAAATCACTACTATAAGCTGAGAAAGGACCCTTACACATGAATAGAAATCACCTTAATTTAAAAGGAAATTAGGACTAGGGAGAATAAATCCCAGTATTTAAAGTCTAATGTTTCTCTTTTTTCCTATTCTTACTTCTCTGTAGTGACTGGCTACCAGAATCTGAAAACCCTAAATCCTTTTGGTGACAGGGGTTAAGAGCTGAAACTGCACTGCACATCAGCACTAGGGCTCCAGACACACCAGAGGTGTGGCCAGATGTGTGAAGCAACTGGTGGCCTGGCCGCAGGGATCTGAGGAACCTGATAAGGGTAAGAGCTGGGGGTGATCAGCTAGCAGGCTGACTAGGGGCCACCTTGATTGGTTGGACTGTCTGGCGAGCACCCTGAGGGCTGGTGATCTTGCTGGCCTAAGACAGAAGCATGGCCTTGACCTGGAAAGAGATGGCCCGGGCTGGGTATTGGTGGGCAACCTACTCTGGGGCCTAATCCCACCAGTGGCATTGTTTTTAGGATCTGCCATTATAACTATATAATAGCAAAGTACCTTAAATGTAGATTTCCAATTCTGGATGGATTTCTGTCATGAGAAGAAGTAAACACTTGGTAGGAATGAGCAGGAACCAGGAAGGAAAGTTTATTAATGGGTTCATACACCTAAGGAAGAAGTAGTCAGGATAAGCTAGTGCCTGAAAAAAGGCTGAGATGGGATGAAAGACAAAAGCTGTGTGCCACGACCTTGACCATCTCCTGAGGGGGAATGTCCTAGAGTCTTTGAAGGGCTGTAGTGAGATGATGTGTCAAGTAGGGAAGGGCAGGATTGGCTGTCGAACCCCAGGCAATGGTTTCTTGAAAATTGTATATTTTTGGCTACATGAAAATAATAGATTTTCTATATTTGATGAATTAAGAAAGGAACAGGAAATGCTACTTATGCTTCCATTAACCTTTTCATTTCTGAGGAAAGTCAGCCCATTCAGACTCAATGGCCCAGGTGCCACAGGTAGCAAATTAGTAGCTTTTTGTAAACAAGTAACCCCAAATGGGAGTAATACATTTCTTTACCATTGACTCTCTGAACAGTGGCATTACAGCCGTATTGCTACCTGCAGGGACATGGACCCCTTCCTTGGTGGCTACATATGCTACCCTGGGCTTCCTGCTATATTGACACCTCCATGGCATACAATCAGCAAGTAATTGCATTTATACTTGTATTTTGGGATTCTGACTCATTGCCAGATTTGGCACATCCAAATTTTAGGTAGCTGCCTGTCAACTTTCTGGGTTCATCCCTGTAGCCAAGAAAGAGAAAGCAAAGTAGAAGAGTCCCTTGAGAGGGAGGGGAGGTAGGCAATAGGGAAAGAAGCAGAAACCAGGATAAACAATCCCTTTGGGCAGTCATTTTCCTTTCGGTCGGTGGCTTTGGGAAGGGGGCAGTGCTTTCTCTGCAGCCCATTCATGTCATTAATAATCAGTGGGTTTCTTTTAAAGGAGGATCTTTTCACCGGTTGTAAGGAAAAGGCAAAAGCAGAATAGAACACAGAAAAGAGAAATTAGGCAACTATTAAGTTTCTCAGACTCCTTAGTGACAAATGTTTTCTGGGTGCTGACTGAATAGCAATAGGACTTTGAAGCTGTTCAATTAATTACTGTTCAATTAAGACTTGCTGCTGCCATTCTTTTCCCTTCTCGCATCTCCTCTGCCAGCCTCGGCCGGTGGAGGCAGCAGCAGCATACTGCTGCCTGCAGAAGGGTCTGCATGACCAGGCTGTTTCAGGCAAATGCAACGAAAGGAAAAATGCCTCAAATGGCTAAGGCAAGGCCCCACGGGGTTAAGGGCAGAAGCAAGGCTGATAGTAAAGGTGGTGGAAAGAGTCTTTATGAAAATGCTTGATCTGCTCAGATTAAAAAGCTCTCGCTATGAATTCAGACCCCTTCCCTCAGCTCACTAGCTGTGGCTCAGCAGCCCTCTTCTCTGAAGGGCCACAAATGCTGCTTCAGCCAGGCTTGCTACTGTCATCTGGCCACATGTGCTCATGCAGTGTGAGTCCAGACATTTTCTCTGTGATTGCCTGAACTGGGCTGTGGATTCCTTCTCCAGACTAGCTGATGATCCAGCAGAGAATTTCAGGGTAGAAGTGGCCATTCCAGAAAAGATGAACAGCACCACAGGAAGGCGACTAAGAGAGGGACAGAAGTGGGTTGCAGATGCAAGGGTGGGGGGGTGGAGCGTGGATGGGCTGGGGGGGTGGATGGGGGTTGGGGGTGGATGGGGGGTGGGGGATGGGGGGATGGGGGAGGGATCCCGGAAGGTAAATTTGGCTTTAATGGATGCTCTTTTTAAAATTTCTGCAATTCATGGAAATTCCAGCCATTTTGGGGGATTCTGGATAACATTGCTTGAATTTAAGGGGAATGGTATATTGTATATTTCACCTTTTCACACAACCTCAATTATCCAGAGCAAATTTTTCTAATGATGTCTAATTGAGACAGCAACATAAGCCAGGATGCTCAGAAACCAGATGTCACCTGGGGGGAAGGAGAAACCTGTGGTCTTCTAGCTGCCACGCTTTGGCCTGTGCTCTTTATACCCCTCAAGATTGACCTGAACTGAAATCCAAGGCTTAATATTTGAGCTAGACAGCAAGATTCTTAGGTGTTAAATCTTTCTGTTTGGGTGAAGCAGTTGAGGCACTTGTATGAAAACTACACTGTACCTGTGAAATTGGAATTTCTGGGCCAGGTCTGTAAGAGATTCTCAGGGGATAACAGGGGTAAGGGAGACAAATCTTAAGGTCCTCATCAGTAGTCCTCTAGTGCTGTCTTTGGCTTTTAAAAATCCTCCTCCTAATGCTGAGCTGATGTCTGCCCCTTGTCCTAACCCCTTTGGCCACCAGATATATGAAGCTTGCCATTGAGGTTTCTTCTCCCCAAGTCTCTTTTTATGCCTTCAGACTACCCTATAAAGTCCTAAAATTTCCTGACTTTGTGACACCCCCCCATTTCTAAATCTTCTCTTCTGCTTATTCCTGGGGGTTCTCTTACCTGCCCTCTTACCTCCCCTTTTTTTCTTGCCGTGATCCCTCAAAACTTTCTTTTCCTTTTGTCTTCCTCAAATCTGTTCCCACATTATTGCTGCTACCTACCCTCTGTCTGGAAAGCATAGGTTCACCCTGGCCTTTCCAATTGCCATGGCCCCCTGCTAATTTGAATCATACCCTAAAATCAGCCCATAGAATAAATACACAGGCCGTGCCCACACTTGAAGCTAGGAAGGCAGCCTCCCCAATTCTACCCTGGAATAGTTTGCATGCAGAGGGTGTCATGGTGCCAGCTCCTCTCTGGTGTCCTGCCTTTGCTGGCTGAGTGCTGTCAACAGGTGACGGTGGCTCTGCACTGCAGACTCTTGGCCACGGGGGAACTAAGTCACTAGGCTGCACTCTGGCTTCTCTGCCCTGTGAATTAACTAGGCCCTAGCACTTGGCCTAGCATAGCTATCGGGGGCTTTAAAAAAAAAAACCCATGAGATTTAAAAAAACAAAACAAACACCAGTAAAAATCAGCCTTTTTATATGAGAAGGAAAAAAAAGTTAAATTATAAAACAAAAATGGGATGCTAAGTCACTTAATTTGACAGAACCATTTTTTTTTTTTTTTTTGAAACATTTATTTGTTTATCCCATATGTGCTGGAGGCAAAATTGGTTTTGGGGTATGTGCAAAAAACCCAAATCTTAGCTATTACAAGGTCCTGCAGTACATAAACAAATAATATATTATGTCTGTGGTATAAAAATGTGATGGGGTAGGGGATGCAGAGAATTGGGGGGGGCATGAAGAATCTGGGGGGTGGGAGAGTGATAATTGAAAAGACATTGCTGGAAAAACTGGTTTATCCTAACTAGCTGCAACCTGTAGGCCATTTTTTCAGGTCTAGCTTAATCAAGACACTTAAAACTGTTACCAAATAATACATCCAACACTTGTGGTCACTTAACCAGTGCTCCTGTCAGGGTGCTGTGTCCTGAAGTGGCCAGTATCTCACCACAGTACTGGTGCAGGATTTGTAACCTTGCTGCCTGTTTCTGCTCTGAAAGGCATGTTTTCAGACACTAAGGTGGGCGAGGGAGGACCCCCACATTAAAAACACTAAATGCTGCTTGTGCTTCAGGATGGCCAGTTTTTTCTCAGTTTAGGGACAGAACTCAATGGAATTCTGCATTCTCTAACCTGCCTCTTTTAAAACCATTTTTGCCACCAATTGAAAAGCAGATTTGACAAAATTAATATTAGACCAACATAAACCATATTTCTTCACAGCTGGTGCTTTTTATTTGATCAACTTTTGAAATTTTCTAGATTCCATTAATATTAAAATCATGGATAGAGTCGAATTGAGCAACTCCAGGCTTCTAAAACTAATCCACCTGCACATATATGGAGCTGAAAGGGATAATAGGAACATCTCTTTCAGCTACTTCACTTTAGAAGAAACCAAGGCAGTGAGGTGCTAGGTCTGCCCTAAGGCTACTTGGCAGGACTAGGGCCAGAAGCAGCCTGGGCTGTTAGGGCCTTTTGTCCTAGATGCCACTGCCCCAGTGTGGTGCATCAAGATTTAGGAAATAGAGTCATTAATGTCAAAATGCCACAGCAGGACAAGAAATTCCATCCTGCATTCTGGAACATAGGGATTAAAGGTGTAATTTGAGAATCTCATCCCTTTGCTGGGCAGTTTTTTAGAGAAGGAAGCACTTGAGCTGGCATGACATCACTAGCTTCTGGAAGCCCAGTATGATTTTAGTGATTTGATTTTTAATAGGTCGTCATCCTAAGAGATATGCTTTCCCCACACCATGGTTTCTGCTCAATTTGCTCTCAATAGCTTCTCTCTTCTTGAAGAGCAGTGATAATACTGGTAAATTAAGTAAAATCCATGCAGATTATTTTTTTAAAAAAAACCAAAACATTCTTACCAAGACTGAAGTTTCAGCTTTCTTCATTAAACTTTTATCGCAGCTGCTAAAAATGAAGGCTAAAGAGTAAAGGGCTGTAAGCAATTCCAGGGTACAAAAGCTTCTAGTGCATTACAGAGAAACATTATCTTAAAACAATTCTAAACTTTAAAATGTCTAATTCTTGAATTCTGATAAACATAGATTAAAAAGTTTTGTTTGCAAAACTTTATATGTAAACTTATGTATGTCAGGTTATTGACATCACACAATATTTGAACATTGCTACATAATTTTCCAATGCAAGAAATTCATTTACAAGAGCACCTTTGACTCCCCCTCCCCCCCACAGCCAAAAGCAAATTTCCATTAAGCAAATGGTGAATGTAGTAAAAGAAGAATCTTAAACCATTGGATATACCATCATGCTTAACTAGCTTTATTTTCTTCCTTCTCCTCCTCCTGTCTCTGCATTTGAAATGTTATAACTCCAACCTGATTAACTCTAAGGTTTCCTTTTTTGAGAGCATATCCTCACTCAACAGACCCCACCTAAGTAAAAGGACAAGTTAGCCCATTCAAATGCTAACTCCAGCTTAACAGGGTTAGACAAAGGGCTAGTTTGGAAGGCTGGTGAGTTGGGAATGCTTGGAGAACTTGCTAGAAATGTCTCTGGAAAAGGAAGGCAGCTGAACACCAGTGTCTTAGGCAGAAAGAAGGTTTGAAGAGCACATATAGCAAAATCTCCTCCTCAGGATGGGTCATGGGTGCTTTCCTGCATGTTTGGTTTTTCTCAGTTGCTTTGTATGGACCCCCCAGGGCAGGCAGAAAGAGGAAAGTTGGGGGAGGGGAACTGAATGGGGGAGGGTGTGTGCCTGTGGGTAACAGGTTTTCACAGTCGGGCTGTAATGTTATATCCTCTACTTTGACTCAGAGGCAGTTTGTGGAAGACAGTGTCTGAAAGACAGCAAAATATTTGTGTGTTGCTGGACTGGGGACCCTACCCCCTAAATATATGAACCTAGTGCGTTGCTCACAGTAAAGGAAGCCAGCCTCCCTGTGTCTGCCCTCTATTTAAAAAACAGCAAGACCAGTGTGAGGTGTGGGCTAGGCACTCTAAGACTTAAAAACTTGTTTATTCATTCCACAACAAGGCAACATGTTAATTTCTTTAATGAAAAACCACTTGGGAAAACCAGTCCCCAAGACTACCCAGTCTGTAAAGATAGCTTCCACACGGTAAAGCACACCAAAAAAAAAAAAAAAAAAAAAAAAAAAAAAAATCAACAAAACCTCTGGCTTCTCTCGCCTGTTCCCTAGAGACCTCTTTTGCTTGGTGAATTCAGGCTACTGAGACATTACCAAAGGAAAAACAATGCCTAATGTCACAAAAATGAATCATTGTTTGCATTAAGTAGCAATTTCAGTTTTAGGGGCGTTCCATTCCACTTAGCAATTTGACGATTGCAAGCTAAGAGCAGGGCATGCCTGGCCCCCAGCCTTCCGACGTGCTGCCAAGGCTAGACCCCTTGCTAACAAATTGCCTTCCCCCTATTTACTACCGAAGACCACAAAGGCATCCAACCGTCGCATAACTAAGTTCTGGGGCGCTGTAGCGCCTTTCCTACGGAATAGGTCCGGGAAGGAAGACCGTTTATTAAAGTGTTTTCCTTCTAGCACTATCCTTTTCTTAGAAGTTTAAGAACCCGACAGTCTTTCAGTTCAAGCCATCAAAATGCTTTACTTTTCCCCCAAATCATTCTCAGCAGAGTAAATCAAGCCGGCGCAAAAACGAGACCAGCACGCACCAAAAAAAAAAAAAAAAAGGAAAACCAAAAGATCAATTTCCAAGTCGAGTGAGATTTCGTAAATACATTTCACTTATTAGGTTTTTCCCCCAGGGTTGGCGCTGAGGGCTGCCAGATTGCTGCGTTTTTATGCTGGGTCACCGGGGCAGTTTCCCCTCCAGGTTACAGATTCCAAACTTAGCTCCACCCGAGCTGAAAATGGCCGGAGCACGCTGCCTCCCCTCCCGCAGGCTACTGAAGCCGCCGCAGGTCCCTGCCCCCATCTCGACCGGTTGCCCAAAGACTGGCACCCGAACCAACACCTTTCCCCAGCTCGGCGCGCGCTCGTTGAGGACACACTGTACGGTGTCGGTGTCCCCGTGATAGACGCGAACCCCTTCTCCAGCCCATTCCTTGTTCCTCTTTACCTTTATGCTCGCGACCACCTCGAGGGCCTCTTAACCTCTCTCTCCTGTCCCCAGGGTCTCGCACAAACAGCCCAGGACCTTTCCAGCCAAGCTGATGCAGCCCCGCCCGCCGCCTGACCAGCTGCGCCAGAAGGTTGGTAATGCCCGACGTGACCAAACCTTCGCTGCCAACCCTGGTAGCCCGTAGGGGTACCCCCTGAGACTCACATACCTCCCTTGCGTGCCCTGCAAGTACCGGAGACTCCAGGCAAACCGCCAAACCGCCGGCGCGCTACGGGAGGTCTGCTCTAGGGTGCGCGGACAGGTGCGCACGCTCTCTGCGGCGGTCTCTGGCCCCAGGAGCGCCCGGAGACGGGCGGTGGAGGCAAAGACTGACGCGGGGCAGCGGGAGGCACTGGCGCCAAGATCCCAGGGCTCCAAATTGGCAGCTCCGGGACCTGGGCTCCAGGCTCCGAGCCGCTTAAACGCCGCGCGCCCGTGCGACTTCCCTCCGACTTCCCTCCGACTTCCCTCCGGAGCCTGGAGTCTCCGGAGTTCTTGCCCAATCCCATTCAGATTACTTTCCGCACGTTGCAACGGTGTCGCTAACAGCGCAGCTGCTCTTAAATCGTGAAAGTTGGTGCGCGCACCTCCGAATCATATTTCGGGCGGCTGCCAAAGCCAACTCCTTTGAAACTAGTCTTTCTAGGAGAAAAAGAAAAACCTAAAACAAGTGACTTACCAGTGCTGTTTTGGTGCGCAGCTAGAAATCTGGAATGCGGTCCGGATTCGCTCGCGCGTCCGGGGCACCATCCCGGAGACCTCAGGTTGTCTCCAGCGGGACCGAGGAGCGCCCCGCTGTCCGGATTCGCTCGCGCGTCCGGGGCAGCAGCCCGGAGACCTCAGGTTGTCTCCAGCGGGACGCAAGGAGCGCCCCGCCGTCCAACAAGCCTTTGGCCACCGGGGTAGCGGCGCCCTGGGGAGATTTGGGGAGCCCTCTCCACCTCACCCTGACCCCCGATCCCGGGCTGGCTAGCTGAACCCGCTCCCTTCCCACCTTGCTCCTTTACCCTGTCTTTCCTTCTTCCTCCCTTCCTTCCACTGCCCCCAGACCCCCTGTTTAATGATAGCCAACTCACCTGGACCCATGAAAACAAGGAGAATCTGGACGGAGTCGTCCATTAGTGACGCCGGATGGGGATGGGTCCCCTTTTGGAAGGGGACTCCGGGGGAGTCGGGTCGCGGCGGGTGGACTTCTTCGGCTTGCAGCGGCGCTGCTGCTGCTTCTCCTTCTTGGACTCCTCAGACTCTTCGGGGTTCTTCAGATCCTCGTTCTTGGGCTCTGGCTCGGGCTCCTCCCCCTCCCTGGGGCTCTCGGGCTCCTGAGTGCTGGGCGGCGCTCGGCTTGGGGAGGCGTCGGGGCTTCGCAACTTCAGAGCGTACAGACGCTGGGTGAAAGATTGAGTCGAGGTGGACTGCTCGGGCACCACGGGGCCGCGGTCGTCTTCCGGCTCGGTCTCGGGCTCAGTGGTGGGAGCGGAATCAGACTCGGTGTCAAAGTCGGAGTCGAAGTCGTCCTCGAAGTCGTTATCAGACTCGAACTCGTACTCGAAGTCGTCCTCGTACTCTGGGCACTCAGGGAGGGACAGGTCAAGGTCTGCCTCCTCGAGCTCGTAGTCAGATTCGGACTCAGGGGTCTCGGGGAATACCGGGGCGTCGGAGCGGTGATGGGCGTTAAGGAAGCTCCGGCGCTGTTGGGCAGCCGCGCGCTGCTGCTGGGCGCGGGCGTGGGAGGCGGCAAGGGCGCGGAGGAGCGCGATGGAGCAGGAGAGCCAGAGGAGCGCGGCGGCTGTCCGGCGGCCTATGGGCGGACACAAGTCGTGGTGATTTTGGCGAGCTCGGCGCCACTGCTGAGCCCGGGACCTCCGATCCATCCTCTTAGGCGCACACCGAAAAGCCGACCTGCCCTCTGGCTCTGCAGAGAGCGGCTCCGATGCGCATTGGCTGCTGGAGCCGGAAAAGGTGCACCTTGTGAGGTAAGAAGCTGGGTCCAGAGGTCCCAGCCCCACCTCGGCGCGAGGAGAAAAAGGTTAGCAGCTACCTTCCTGACCACTTAAGAACTTTCTAAAGCTCCGCGCCTCTGCTTGCCTCTGAGCAAAAAGAAGGAATGAGAAAGGGGAGAAAAAGTCTATCTCCTCCGGGGCTCCTCTCGGTGAGTCTCAGACTCTGCAGTCTAAGACTCGGGGAGAGGTGCCTCCGCTGGTCCTCTCGCCTGGGAGAGGAAAGAGGAGACTGAGGCGAGAGAGCTGGGGCGGTGAGGTTCGGCGAAGTTGCGCGCCCGGACTTCTGCCGGGCATGTGCAGTAGCGAGGTGGGGGCCGCCTCCCCGCGAGCTGCGCGGTGACGAGCCTGTGGCGCAGACCCTAGTGGGCCGGCAGGTGGCAGGAGGGGACTTTGTTTGAAACGATTTGGGCGAAAAGACGGGCGGGGGTTCTTGGTGGGCGCCAACGAGCAAGCAAGAGAGCTAGCCACAGGTTAGAGGACTTGGACAACTGGACATGGGTTGCCCATGGAGTCGTGCCCATTCCCAGCATCTGCAGAGTTACTGATGAAATGGACACAGCCCCAGAGCAGCTGAAAACTAGTCTTCAATATTGCAGGTATTCAGGGGAACGAGGGTCTGATACATGAGTATTAATGATCTAGCTAAGGACATTTTCAAGGGCTTAATAGTTTGAGGGTGGTAACCTCAGGTAATCATTAATCATGAAACCACCTTTAACAGATCTGTTATAGTGACTGTAATTAGAGAATTTTCCAAAAAAAAAAAAAAAAATAGATGCCCAGTGCAGTCTGAATTGGCTAAATACGTATATTCCTTAAGAAGGGCCCCCACAGTCAAGGCAGTAGTTTGCAAGTCTGCAAACCCAGGGCGGACGGTCTTGAGCTCTCTCTAGCTGAGAACTCTTGCTGGAAGACAGACCGGAGCTGAGAGCATTGGTAAAGGTAAGGATTTCTTGCACTGTCAGTCCTGCTCCCGAGGCTATTCAGTTATCACTGAATCCTCACTAGATGTCCCTTTACCACTGTTTGTTAGCTAGGTTTTTAACAGAGGTAATTCTTTCAGCAAATATTCATTGAGTGCGTAGCACATGCTGAGCTCTGTTCTAGGTGCTGAAGGTGAACAAAAGAGAAAATCTTGCGTTAAGCAAAGGATATTTCAGATTAGTCTGCCGTTAATCAAAACGTTAAATCAGTCAGAATCCCTCCTTATCCACCAACATTGTTTAATACAGCTAGAATTCCATGTGAGGAAACAACTGGATCAGTGCGAGCAGCGGTGCTAGGGGGCGGCCAGACACCGCTGGATCATGCTGTGAGCTCCGCAAAGGCTAAAGAGCTGGAGTGAATTAGTACCACTCTTTCTCGGCCCTGGAAAATCAAATGAGCTCCACAGCCTACAGGAGGGGATCCTACAGTGGAAAAGCTCTTGAGTTCCATCTGTAACCTGCTTCTTTCAGGGTATGTATGTCTTCTGTCTTGCCCTCCCTGTTGAATATGGTGCCTCTTTCAGGGCACATTGTGGAACAAATCAGGAATATGCAGGTGCTGCTAAATGTCCTTTCAATGGAAGGACTAATGCCAGCTGTCAGCAACAAGGTAGATTATGATTCTTTTAATTTGTGCACATAAGAAGGTACTTTGTTTTTCAGATGAAGTGCTTTATGCCTGTAATGGAGGTGGCAGCTCAAAGGCAATACAACTCAGAGCAAAGCTGTCTGCCTGAAATCCATGGAATTGTCAACAAGGTTGCCTCACTTGGGACATATGTTATGGGTTTGGTTCTTTTCTCCTTGAGTCAGTATGAGGGGACTTAAAGAAGAGGGGCCACCTCTGGGTGATCTAGTGGGAGTTTCTTCTGTATTTTTTCATGGTGGCTGAAGGTCAATCATGTACCCACAGCCATTCATCATCATGGTGGAACTACTCACACCTTCCTCACCATGCTTGCATTAAAGCTGCCAAATGCAAAGGTCAGACCTCAGTATGTGTCTAGCAACTGCTTTTGATGTGTTGAGGTTTTTATTTCTGTGTCTTGCCTATGTCTATCTTGCATCTCATGTTCTGTGAGTTAGTTTGTAGCATTAAAATAGTGATTGGTCTAATAAAGTGGGATTGATTTGGCAAACCCCATAAAAAGACAAGTGTCTATATTCCAGTTGTGCTCTGCTCTAACACTTGCCAGAGAAACTGAAAGGGTTTTACTATCACAAGTGCCTGCATGGCTCTAAGCATTTTGTAGATATTATTATGGGACACTAGACACAGGGGCTTTTGGAGCTATATATTTCAAATCCTGATCTCCACCTCTCAGTCCTGACAAATGGGACATTTCTAAGTGGTCTGCCCACATTGACCCACCTGCTTTATTTATTTTAACTATTACAACTCCACTGACAGTATATGAAACATAAAGACATCGTTCAAGCTGATTGCAGGGCACATTGTGGGGGGGGGGGGAAATCAGGAATATGTGGGTGCTGGTAAATGCCCTTTCAATGGAAACTAATGCCAGCTGTCAGCAACGAGGTGGATTATGATTCTTTCGTGTACATAAGAAGTACTTCGTTTTTCAGATGGAGTGCTTTATGCCTGTAATGGAGATGGCAGCCCAGAGCCGATTCACTAATATAGATACACTGAGATTGCCTGCATTATTAAAAAATGTGCATTACATAATACATATTTTTGGACTAGATTCTACATTAACAATGTGCTTTCTTTGCAAGATGCATTTTAATCAACAAATGAACATTTAACAAAACACTGCATTTTCCATCCCCAGTCCTGTTTAGTTACAAATACATTTCAGTGTATATTCGGCACAGGCTCTGGGAAGAAGGAGCAGGGCACTGCACTGAAATCCTGTTCCATCTTGCACTTAGTGCCGAGGTTGAGCAAATGGAGCTGTGTAGAAGATGCTCTTTAAAATGCATTACGTGCATGCTTTAAAAAGTGCTTGCTGCAGAGTGAATTTCAAAAAGGAGCAAGTGGGTGATGAACGACCTCAGTTGTTTCCAGGCTAAGGAACAAGGGGCTCTCTCTGTCTGCCGGTAAATAAAGTGTGGACATATATCACCTTTGGGGCTCTGCTGGAGGGAGGCTCCTAAACCAGTTGGACAGGAAACCACAGTTCCCAGCTCATTACAATATCATACAATAAGGTTCTTATTTAGGTGAATTGTGAAGAATATTGTCTTCAGCCCCTTAAAGGTTTATCATGTGGAAGAGACTTTAAGATTTATTTCATGTGTCTCCAGAGGACAAAATTTAGAACCTATGGGTGGTAGTTATAACAGATAGCCTTCAACCCAGCACAAGTAAGAATAATCCAACAATTAGGGCTCTGGAATGGAATGGACTGTCAGGAGATTGTTGGCTCTTTGTCAGAAGCAGTGTGAAATCAAAGGACAGATGACCACATATTGGAGATGTTTTCCATGGTGCTCATGAGCTGCATAGAGTTGGAACTTGATGTTCCCCAAAGTCTTTTCATCTCAGCCTATGATTCCATTAAAGGCCTCTGGAGGCTGTGGGTGAGGGGCTTGGGGGCTCTATTGGTGGACACAACCTTGCCACTGGAAGGAATGTTTCAGTGGCAGTTTTAAGACATGGGCGAACAGCTGTGTGTGGATGGAGCCTGTCGTGCAGGTTTCCTAACTGAGGCAGGGCTCTGAGGCTCTTTGCTCCACAACTCACTTGTTGAAGCAAAGAAATTAGTCAAAAAATTAGTCCATCTACTAATTACATTGGTCCTCTTTACCTCCCCTCCTGGAGCTGTCTCAGAAATAACAAATGAAATTGGCTATTTAGCAATCATGAATTGAGTCACTTCTATGACCAAGACACTATTCTGGGCATTGTGGGGAGATCAAGTAATTGAGGATGCGTAATTCCTGCCATCCAACAACGTGCATACCAATGTGAAATGCCCCCAGATATTAAAAACAGACCGCCAACAGGTACAGAATAAGAAATTCTGCACCAGAGAGACAGACAAGGGAGGGAAGTTGAGTAACTGATTAGAATCAGAGGTAGAGTTCATCTGATGGTCTTCTGAAAGAGGTGGGTTTTTACCTGGTCCAAGTTTGAGATTTTCTTGTGATTTTTAAAAGCCCAAGAGAGAATTGCTTTCAATCCACCTGTTCCTACTCAGGTGTCCACCATGTGCAAAGCCATGTGCTTGTCTCTCTCAAGGAGACAGAGATGAATCATAGGAGTTCTCAGAAGTCTTGGAGGCTATTGTCCTGGTTCCCCTAGATATCAACACATTTTCTAAGATGAGACTCAAGATAATGGATTGATTGGTTCTGTTCTGCCTAGAGAGTGGATATCATCACTCTTGAACATATTTTTTGGACAGTCATTGGAAAGGATTATTTTGGGAGATGGAGAGCTTTTCAGACTTCCCTTTGGATAGAAATGAATTCAGGGAGTTTGAAGTGTCCCACACTACTCACTGTGGCAATCAGCCAGAAAGGCTCAGCCCCACTGAGAATTTGGCATTGGCACCTCCCACTTTTCCCCAAAGATGACTGGACACGTATACAAAAGCATTCGGCTCATTTCTCTGGGGTGCTATTTTGCTGTTATTTATACTGCACTGATATCAGTGGACTCTCACCAGTAGAAATAGTGAAAACCCCGAGTTCCTGATTTTGTGATTTTGGGGGAATGCCATCTAGAGCTAAAAGCAAACAACAGGATAAAATAGTCATCTTTTTGACATGACGGGATTCTGTCCAGGCCATTGTTGGTATTACAATGCTATATTTGTGCCCTTTGTTTTTGAAGGTAGGTAGGATCAGAAACAAGCCATATTCCTGCGTACAGAGATTGGTAGGAGTTGTCTCCTTAGGAGCTGCCTTGCTCTTCACTTTGTGCTCTGTTGAGGTTCTCCCACAGACATAGCACCTGTCTCCCTCCCTCCTTACTTCTGCCTCAGGAGGAGCAATTTCTATGCTCCTGATGCAACAGGAAGTGTCTAGGCACCTCCCCACTCAGGCAAAACATCGGCTTCGGGTTACGAGTCTTCCTTGGACATGGCGCCTTGCTTTCTGTGCTTTGGCCCTGGAGCTTAGCTTTCTTATGGTCCCTGGCTCAGCCCCTGGACTCTGACCATTTGCCTTGCCTTGTCCTGGTTCTGTCTGTCTGTCTGCCTAGTCCCAACTTAAACTAAGTTTGTCTGGTTCTTTCCCATGGCCAACTGAGACTTCAGTGTCTCAAGATGTGCCCAACCCAGGCTATTGTGGCCTCAGATGTCTACCTCTGCCTTGCACACCGGCCTCTCTGCCTGGAGCTGGTGGGCTGTGGATGAAAACACTGCTGATTGCAAAGGACCACTCAACTGTCGGGAACATTCTCTGCTCATGGCTTTGTCTTTTGTCCAGCTCTCCCGGACATCCCACTTCCCCTGAGCCACCAGCATTGACAGAGAGCCTCAAAGTTGTTTTCATCTATCTGCTGAGGATCTGACTCACCCCTTCAGGCTTGGGGAAGGGAGGGAGGGAGGGAGCCAGCCAGCCAGCCAGCATCAAGCCCAGAGGGGAGAAACCCTTAGCGGTGTCATGGTTCAGGAACACGCTCATAGAAATCCTTTCAGCTCAAGCTCTTCAAAATATGATTAGACCAATTTTACATGTCTAGTCACTGAGGCTCCGGTAGATTGGAACTATTTCTATATGTGCAACGTGAAGTGGAGAATTGAGGCAATTATCTTCAGGCAAATGAATCTGGGCTCTGTAATCAGTCCATCCGGATAAGGGGGGGTGCAGGAATCGGCCTCCTTCACTGTAGCATTGCTTTGTGCTAAAGAGAATCCTAAAGTATTTATTTGTTATTTTCACTTGGTTTTGTTTTTATTAAAGGCAATCTGGTGAGGATTAGTCCTGCTTCATGCAGGTGTTGGGGTATGTGGCTCTCTTGGGTCTCAGAACACTGTCAACTGGGCAGGTGTGGAGATTGATCTGAATCGGTTTCTAATCAGATCAGTTCCCAAGCAAGGTGTGTTTCAGCTGACCTGCCATTTGCTTCCTCCTGGTGGATCTTTGATTTCCACTTCAGTTTTTTCTTTCCACCCCCTTTCCTTGTGGTGGATGATCTGCACCTCCAATGCTAGGATGATAGGATTCCTAATAGGGCCATGATTAGTGTATGTTGTACATGAGAAAACATGAAACTAGGACAATTAAAGGACTT